AATGGCTTACCTATTAGGTGCTTTAAGAATATGCATCCCACTCGAGGACTGTAAAGAGCCTGTAGTTGTATTGAGTTAGTGGGAGTTTATTGTCATTTGTGTGTGACATGTTGTTATTGTTAAGGATTGCTTATGCCTCAAATAATACATGCGTATTTATGGATCTTGTCACTTTGTATGTGATATTGTGTTGACACACTTTTTGGTTGATAAGTGACATGAAAAAATGAGACATTTGGTAGCTCTTGATCCATATATTAATTTGTCATCATGCTTTGATGAATCTCTAACGCCTGATTATGTATAATGATTATATCTTGTCGATATGTTATTATGCATGATTGTTTTGGGCTTGTGTTTATTATGTGAGATTCTTAGTTGATGCTTATGTTGTGATGAGTAAATGTTTGTTGTTTGATTATGTCGTCTAAGTGGGAGACTGTTAGAATATTTTTATGTGGATTTCTATAATCATAATAATTCACTCTTTAATTAATAAGGCATTTTATAGACAACTATGTTAATGTGAATTAACACATGCATGTATGTTAAATATCAATCCATAATGGGATGGACACTTATTTTATTAACTCGCTTGAGGCATATGAACTCTTTCTATCTCATAATATTTTGTCAGCCTATTGGACTAAATACCCTCTCCATTGAATATTGATTAAAAGCCCTTAGGCCTATTTGGTTTTTATTAGTAGCACCCATTCTTTAGAAGAGGTGGGCTTGTGCTTGTGTGTGTGTGCTACAAATGTGAAAGGGGCAGAGAGGGAGAGATAGGAGGAGCTCAAGAGCACTTCCTACAACTTTTCTTCTTATTTGCAGGTCCTCCATTGATTCCGGCCGGCTATTGGTGGATTCCGCAATCGTGGGGTACGCTTTTTCACTGCCTACCGGAAGAGGTAATCTTCCTTTGTCCACTTCAATGTATGCCTAAATCTTAAATAAGTTTTATGGTATTTTCATATGTATTGCTAGATTATTGTTTTTTATCTTGTTTAGATTGTGTTGAGATCATTTTAAATCTAGCAGGATATGGAGTCTAGAAGGGCATCAAAGACAAGAAAGATGATTGTTGGCGGATTACCGCAGCATTGGTGTTGTGATCTAACCTTACTTTTTTATCTTATGTTTATGCTATAAATGGTTTTTTTTTCCTATAAAGTCACAAACTGCAGATGAATTGAGGGAATATTTTTTCTACATATGGTGCCAATAGATCATGAAACTGGGCGATCTAGAGGTTTTAGGTTTGTCACTTTTGATAACGAAGATGCTGTTGAGCAAATATTTTTGGTGGGAGAAAAAACATGAACTCGGTGGCAAACAGGTAAAATTAGGGGTGGCAATTCGTGTCACGTGTCGTGTTCGTGTCGTGTTTTGATCGTTTTTTTTAAATTTACAGTCAACCCGAACACGACCCGTGACACGAAATTTTTTAAAAACCGCAACACGAACACGACACGACCACTTTATGAGTTGACACGACACGACCCGAAAATGACCCGTGACACGAAATTGACCCGTGAATCCGAAATTGACACGAAAATTGTATACTTTTATTTAGTTTTTTACATATTAGAAATAACTTAAAATTCATAACACACTAAATTACAATAACATCCATTGAAATTAAGCAAATAATAGTATAAGATTTTGAGTATAACTATCATGATATCACAAGTTCATAATAAAATTTAAAATATGAAATGAAAAATATATGTATTTTTTAGTTTTTTACGAGTTTCGTGTCGTGTTCGGGTTAGGCGGGTCCAACCCAAAATTGACCCGTATTTTTCGTGTCAATTTCAGGTCGACCCGATTCTGACCCGAACTTCTTTTTTCTCAACCCTAACCCGTAAAATTCGTGTCGTTTTCGAGTCGTGTCGTCGTGTCATGACCCATATTGCCGGCCTTAGGTAAAACAACAGTTATAAAGAAATTTCTTTGAAGAAAACAACGAAAAAAAGAAATTGATTTGGCTATCCGTTATTAAGCCCTATAGTTTTGAAGGAAAATTGCTTACAACCTTTGTGCACTGTCGCTGACTTGCAGGTGGAGTAAAAAGGGCTGAACCTAAATGGAGTGGCGCTGATTCCAACGGCAATACTTCTCTCTTATCTTTTAGTATTTCTATTTTAATTCATCATAAAAATAAAAATTACTCTTAAGTTTTTACATATTAAAAACTCATACTCTATTAAATACATTAAAACTTAAATTACTTAAATCTTAACATATCACTTTTAAATAGACTTAACCTTATATGACTGTTTGTTACGCATAATTATTAATATATAAGTAATATTAAATTAAGGATCCAACGGGTTTTGGTAATCCAACATCCAGACATGACGGTTACAGTTATGTTGGTGGTCCATACAACGAAAAAATAGATATGACCTAAGGTAACTACTGTTTGTATGATGCTTATGGAGATTTTGGTGGAAGCTATACTGGTTTTTACAACGATTATGGTGGATACTTATACGCATTTGGATATGGCGGAGATATGTACGGCAGTGCTGGATATGGAGGCAATGGTTATGGCATTGCTTTGTAGCTATGGTGGCATTAATGCTTGCAATCATTATGGTTCTATGGCTGCCAGATATCATACTTACCGCACGGATTATAATTCCCAACAATAGGGGAAAGGACATGATAGATTGTCTTACAACATGGTGCGAGATCTATCACAGAACTGTAAATATTAATATGCACATTAACTTTTTTAAAGATTATAGTTGGATCCTTTTATAACTTTCCCATTCTTAACGCTCACCTTTCATTGTTTTTTTTTTTTTTAATTACGTAGTACATCTCTTGTTCAATACACCACAAGTATCCCCACATGAGTTAAGTATGTGTGATGCCACTTAAGGCCTCAATATTTTATTGATTTGAATTTTCAATTTTAATTTTTCTACAGTTAAAAGCTCTCACAAAAAGTCACATCTAACTTTTTTCTGCTATAGTAAAAAGTTCTCACATAAAATCACATCTCAGCTTAAATTGAAAACTCGAATCAACGAACCAAAAGAGATGCCAGAATCCAACAACTTTACATGTTTGTTGATTTTTTAAAAAAAAATATATACTGTTAAAATATGAAAAATATTGTACCGGAATATTCTCCTGTTTATCGAGCGTACGTTGATATTATCTTTTCTTACTTTTGTAGTTCTCTTTTAGCAAATAAGCTCAAGTGGAGTGCAAAATGAATAAGTTTGCATTCGTACCATACAAGGGCTTAGTTTGGTATAGCTGTAGATTTTAAAAATATTACTTTTAACTCTGTTGAAAGAAAAAATAGCTAAGTATTTGGTAAATTATGAAGTTGAATTGTTATGAATAATTAAAAATTAAGACTATATTATATTATACTATAATATAATATATATATATATAATTACAATATAATATATAATATTATTATAATATCATATTATATGATAAAATAATAATATTATAGTTATTAATAATTATTATATAATAATTATTAATAACTATAATATTATTATTTTATCATATAATATGATATTATAATAATATTATATATTATATTGTAATTATATTAACCATTTTAATGATAATATTATATTCTATATTATAATTATATATAATATAATATAGTTGTAATTTTTAATTATATTATAACTGAAATATTATTATTCTTATGTAATATTATAATATGTTTCATGATATTGTAATTATATTAACCATTTTAATGATAATATTATATTCTATATTATAATTATATATAATATAATATAGTTGTAATTTTTAATTATATTATAACTGAAATATTATTATTCTTATGTAATATTATAATATGTTTCATGATATTGTAATTATATTAACCATTTTAATGATAATATTATATTCTATATTATAATTATATATAATATAATATAGTTGTAATTTTTAATTATATTATAACTGAAATATTATTATTCTTATGTAATATTATAATATGTTTCATGATATTGTAATTATATTAACCATTTTAATGATAATATTATATTCTATATTATAATTATATATAATATAATATAGTTGTAATTTTTAATTATATTATAACTGAAATATTATTATTCTTATGTAATATTATAATATGTTTCATGATATTGTAATTATATATATATATATTATATTATAGTATAATATATTATTACATTTTTTGAGGAGATTTATCAAAAAACTAAAATCGCTTTTGTTACAAATAGAAGTTGATTTTAGAAGCGAAAAGCAATACCAAACACAACTAAGGCTTATTTTAAAATTAGAAGCTTTAGAGAGAAAAAAAAAAAAGAAAAAAATTCTTCAGCTAGTAATTTAATGTCCCTTAAAATACACTTTTAATTAATTAATTAAAAGTCTGTGAAATCAACACCAGCTCTTTTGCCATTCCTATTCTCCTCACATCTGTAATCAAATCTTTTTTTTTTTCCTTTCCAAGAATTTTTACTTAAATTGACTAATTTTTACTTAAATTGACGAATTTTTACTTAAATAGAAAACCTAAAACTTAGATGACGGACACTGAAAACCAGAGTAGACCTATCCAATACAGGAATAAGGTGGGTCTTGGCCAAGTCTAGCCTTATGTCCAAAACCTCAGACTATGAGTCGGTTTAATTACTAATTTAAATTTTTAATTTAAGTTGATATATTATTTTATATAAGAATTTTTTATTATAATAAATAAATTTAATGTAATTATTTTTAAAAAAAAAATTATTATAATAACACTTAGGGTCTGTTTGGTTCCTAAATTCACTCCCTGATTCGAATCATGATTCGTTGTTCGCTACAGTATTCTCTCACAAAAAATACATGTAAATCGAAAATAGTTCAAATCACATGATTTGAATCCATGAACCAAACGGACCCTTAAATTTTAAAGTGATTAGTAAAATAAACGGTACCTATATCTTTTTTTTTGTTTATCCAAATCTCTGTTTATCCAAACAAAAGGTAACAATCCACATAAAAATGCGAGCTTTTCCCACAGCCGTCGAGGCTCAAAAGACCAAACTTGGGTGGCAATGTCCATATTCCTCAAGACCAGTTACTGTCGGCATTTATCTTCAACCGCCATGGCAATGTGCTCGAGCTTTTGCCCTCAGATTCCTAATCACTTTAGAGGGAAACCCATTTCTCTATTCTCTTCAAGACCACCATTTTCTGTTTCCTTCAAGGCCTTGTCTTCTCGAGCGTACGATGATCCTCCTAAAGGTTTATCTTCTTTTTTTTTTTTCATGTGGTAGTCATGTTTCTTGATCAATTCATCTTCTTGCCCATCTGTGAGAAAGTCTCTATCGATACACATGAAATTTTACGTGTTTTTGATTCTCAGCAGATAAATTGCCGGCAAACATTGGTTTCCTTGGTATTGGAATTATGGGTTCTCCAATGACACAAAATCTTATAAAAGCTGGGTATGTAAGTTTTTCTGATAAAAATCCTTTTGATTTTGGATATTTACTGTGAAAAATTATGAATAATTAGGTACTAATATGTGACAATTGAGGTGAATCCTTAGTCGTTGGAATCAAGCTTAATAATCATTCTGGGACCTTGTAGGTGTGATGTGACTGTTTGGAATCGGACCAAGAGCAAATGTGATCCTCTCATCAGCTTAGGTGCAAAGTAAGTACTTGGCATTGTGCCTGTTTATTTTATATACTCAAACTCAAATCATTGATTTTGTTACGGTATTTTCCTCTCATAAAAAATTTAAATTTCAAGTCTCAGAATCAATTCAGAGTCAAGTTTATTCTTTTCTCGTGTAAATATAAGGATATTTTGCACCAATGCAGCTTAAACTTTTTTGTAATTCACAAGTAATTCTAAATTTACTGTTTTGGTATTTAACTCCTAAAATTTGACAATCCTTGGCAATGCAGTCTAACTGATAACTGACGTCAATTAATATACAGAATTTATGGTCACCAATGTCAAGATTAAAAAGTTCAGCGTCTAATTTGTCGATCAACGAAAAGATGGTGCATTTTGTGTAAAATTCATTGAGATTCTGTCTATTAATTGACATTTGTTAGCTATTCGACTAGAAATGCAACGATTTTTAAATTTAAGGTCATACTTGTCAAAATTAAAAGCTCGGGGTCTAAGTTTTTAGCTACGATAAGTTCACGGTGCACTAATACAAAAACCCTGAACTTAACTACTAATACATATATATATATATATATATTTCATGATAACTTGTTCTGTTACTTTCAAAGCCATGTAAGAGAACTTAACCTGGAATGTCTTAGTTATATTGTTTGATGATTTTGCAGATATAAATCATCTCCTGAGGAAGTAGCTGCATCTTGTGATGTCACATTTGCCATGCTTTCGGATCCTGAGAGTGCAGTGCGTATGTTTTCTCTTAATTTTTTTCATTACTTAACCTTCTATTCAGAAACGGCAGCTTATAGATGCTTTCTATCAGGTTGATGTTGCTTGTGGGAAGCATGGAGCTGCGAGCGGAATGAGTTCAGGAAAAGGGTACTATTTTTTTTGTTCCCATGGCAAATGGAAATTTCCTTTCCTAAGTGCAAGTTTATTGATAGTATAAACATTCTCCTATAGCTATAACCTGATAAGCAGTTTATGCAATTACCATTTCTGCACGTCTTCAGGTATGTGGATGTTTCAACTGTTGATGGTGCAACCTCTAAATTGATTTCTCAACATATTAAATCCACTGGAGCATTGTTTTTGGAGGTAATCGAGCTGTTTTCAGAAGTCTAGAGAAGCTAACATAAAGTTTATGTTATGGTATTGTAGAAAAAGTTTAAGCTTGGGCACTTTCTTTGTTAGGCTCCAGTTTCCGGCTCAAAAAAGCCAGCAGAAGAGGGTCAGCTCATATTTCTTACAGCAGGTATGCAATCTTTAATTTTCTCATATAAAGTTTTTCGGGTTGTCGCTGTCCATGTTTGCTTTGGCGCCCACTACAAACGCTGTCCAAGCTTCTTGTTCATCCATGTTCAGAAACTCATTGTACTTCTGCATAACTAGTGAAGTGAGTCTAACAGGAACTAAATTGTTAGCTAAAATTTTTCAGGAGATAAATCTCTTTATGAAACAGTTGGTCCTTTCTTAGACATCATGGGGAAGGTATTGTGTCTTGCTTTTTTTGCAACTTCTTCTCTGGCTTAGATATATATAGTTACCTGCTTCTGTTTTATGCCCATCTTTATACTTTCATCCAGTCAAGATTCTACCTCGGGGATGTCGGAAATGGGGCTGCCATGAAACTTGTTGTGAACATGGTCATGGGAAGGTTTGTCCGAGATCACTTCCATTTAATCAATATTCTGTCTTTTTTCTACACTTATTCTGACGTGTTTCAACGTTTCTTAGTATGATGGCCTCATTTGCTGAAGGGCTGCTTCTCAGTGAGAAAGCAGGACTAGACCCAAGCGTACTCGTTGAGGTATCCTGCAGAGAATCTCTTATCCTACTGCGTATTATTTCCTCAATACATAGTTCTAAGACTCCCTTTTTCTTGTCTTTTCAAATCCAAAGAAAAGAAAATGACTTATGGTTCATCCATGATATTGCAGGTCATCTCGCAGGGCGCAATTAGCGCACCAATGTACTCGATGAAAGGCCCGTCAATGATCAAATCCCTTTATCCTACTGCATTTCCCTTGAAGCATCAACAGAAGGTTTGTGAAGTTTCTTAAGTGCCGACCTTTTTTATCACCTCATGATGTTAGTGCTTACAGCCTCTGATGATATCTATTATCTTTGGTTGCAGGACTTGAGGCTTGCTCTGGGTTTAGCTGAATCTGTGAACCAACCCACTCCGATTGCAGCAGCTACGAATGAACTCTACAAAGTAGCCAAATCATACGGCCTCAGTGACCGGGATTTTTCGGCTGTCATCGAGGCGTTGAAAGGAAAGTTGCAGCAGTGAACAAAATAGCCTCGGCTTTTCATCCCCGAGAGGTGAGTTTATTGTAGCTGCCCTTTATCATGGTCATCTGCAGCTAGAGCCCGATTAAATTGATTAATTCTTTGAAGAACATAAACTCAGCCTCATAGAAGTTGGAAGTCAATAATATAATTCCGTGTAATAGCTTATACAATTTTATTATTTTGATTTTCTATGCACCCTTTTGGTATGAAAAGAAAACCAATCTAACTATTCATTGGTTTATATGGCATTAAATTTGCAGTCTATTCTTTAGTTGGTAGGAGAATCATACTAGATGAAGAAAAATATAACAGTTTAACGGAACTTAATGACAATATCACTAATCCTAACTATGCCTATTAATAGGGGCACAGAGTAGATATGCCGTTTGAAATTATGTATATGACAAATGTCAAATTATGCCATTTTTCACACTTGTTTCAAATATAACATGAACATTCACATTACAGAGGGTTTAAAATAGAGATAAAAGGATATCAAAATAGAAAAGATTATAGAAATTGGCAGCCCAAGTGTTTTTGAAAACATATCAAACTTGCAAGCAAATCAAACAAAACTAAGCTACATTGGATGTGGAGCATCCTCAGGCGTATAAGATGCAGATTGTGTATCTATATCAAACATTACACATGCTCAACGCTGAAATTTGGTAACTTTAACTGGTTATACGAAGTTTCGACAGTTGAACAACTATTTTATTGAATAGCTATTTAAAAATCTTAACGCTTTTGTAACATTTTATATGACTTTTAAAGTCTTCTATTCTCTCTGCTCTCGATGACTTACCATTAAAATAATAATAATAATAATAATAATAATAATAATAATAATAAAGTTAAGCAGCCACTAACAAGTTTACAAATCTATCGTCATTATTTTAACTTTTCCCCCCTCTTTAAGGTTAACTTATAACTAGGTCAAGCAAACATTTTAATCATACCTTCATTAATAGAAAGTCAGTTTACTTTGTTGACCAACAAATCTATTGATATAGTTTTTCAATATCAAGTGAACATGGCCACCTAGCCGTGTCCTAAAAAGCTGGTCATTTTTGCTTAATTTTCTATTTTGCCTTCTATGGTTTTCTCAAATCTATGCAGAGAGAGAGAGAGAGAGAGAGAGAGAGAGAGTCACTAAAATAATGTAGCAAACTTCATACTAAATATCATTTAAAAACTACAGGTATGCAAATTTCAAAAAGTCAAGCCAATGGATATAATGATTAAGTGGAACCAAATCTAACATGGTAATGATTCTCTGTGTCAAATGACTAGATCCTAATCCGAGAAACTTGTTCCTCTTTTATTCCTTGCTCTTTTGGCCTGCCTCTCCTTCCCCACTTATCTCTTTCCTTTTCTTCAGTTGATCTTTGCTTTCTTCATACTCCAAGCATTCAAATTTGCAATCTCAACATCTTGAGTTCCATTATTGAAAGCAAACAAATATGCCCCATCACCAATAGCCAATGTAGGATAAACTCTAGCTGTGATGCAAGCTTTTCCTTTCCCACCAAAGCTCTCCACTATGGAGTGATCAATCTACAAAAACAGTGAAAAAGTTTCAAACATGTTGGGATTAAAAGATGAAATGGATAAAAAGAATTTATCATGATATAAAAGAATGCTCGCCCACATTAGCTTAGAAGAGTGAGACATTAAAGTTTATCCTGTCGGTCACATGTGTAGAAATTCTAAAAACATTATGTTACCATGAGGCCTTGAATACAAGACACTGCCGATATTAATACGCATGGATCAACATTATAAAATAAATAAATAAATAAAGTTTTACCATAAGAATTATTGTTTTACTTGACAAATATGAATTAGTTCTTTAATGGTTCGATCTATGAGTAGAAGATATTGTGTATCGCATGCTATAAATTTTTAATGTGAACAGTCACAACAGACACAATTGAAAAAAAAAAAAAAAAAAAAAAAAAGCCTATTTTTAGCACTCGATGAAGTTGCCATACACATATACAAGACAAAAATGTAGACTGAAAATTTTTCATGTGGAAGACTTCAAAACAACATAAGTGGATTTCTTGAAAGTTTCCAGCATTATAGGGACAAAAAATCAATGATAAGAGTTCAATTATATTTTGAATTGATTGCTACTCACCAAACTCCTTAGAGACAGCGTCTCATGAACAAGGTCGACATTCAGAAAAACACCATAAGTGGTCTTGTCATTATCTTGTTTTAGGGAGGACCTATCACAAAACAACAAATAAGTAAGGGGCAAAAAACAAAAAAAAAAATCCATATTGAATGCTTGTTGATAAGAATATGTTTGATGGCCTAAGAGGAAAAAGAGGAAAAGAAACCTGCTTTGGTCACTGCACAAGAGCACCACATATTTGTTGTGACCTTTGAAAATTCTGAAGAACACTGCCGTGTACTCTTTCAAGCCATTTGAAGCCAAAACCAATAACCCAAATGGCCCTAAACTGCTCTTAACTGAGGCACCCTTTTGGCTACACAAAATTTGTGGGTTTGTCCAAGTAGGATCCAACACTTCTGCTTTCTCAAGCCCAGAAATCTTGAATGAAATCTCTACATCTGCCTGTAAAGAGGGTAAAAAAGGAAAAAAAAAGTTTACAAAAAATTATCATCATGATTAAAATGTTCAACTTAGGCTTATTCTACTAATTTTTTTTTTCCAATGTATTAGTACTTAATAGTGGTAATTTTTTTTTTGTTAACTTGAGTAGAAAGTAAAATATAATGAAAAGTAACCTGTGTTGCTGTAACTTTGGGAACTTTAAGTACTGATCCACCCTTGAGTAGTTTATTGGAAAAGTTGACTTGGTTTATTCTTAGTTTTTCAATTTCTGGTACTGGCCATTGGATCAACTGCTTTCCGGATTTATCAAGCAAAAGGGTCCTTGGAATTGCCTGCAAAATGATTTCATAATTACAATGTTATCTATAAAAGAAAAAAGAAAAAAGAAAAAAAAGATAGTGGAAACCATTTTCCTTGAAACAAAGGTACCTACTAAGTCAACTCTATTATTATTTGAACAACGAATCAAAAACTATCATCTCTTTTTTAAAAAAGTATTACATGTGACAATCTTTTATATAACATAAAGTTCAATTCAAGCAATGAAAGTAAACAATAAAAGATTACCTGAACTCCAGCCCAACCTTTATTGATATCATCATTAACACTTGAAGATTCATTAATCCAACCCCACAAAATCCTTCTCCTCTTGACACTATCAAAAAATGTCTTGGACGCGTAAAACTTGCCATAATCATACCTCAATCCGGCATCACTCTCCACTGACCCTTCATCCGGGATATATTTATCCTTCTTAATGGCATACGTCCCAATTGTGTAATACTCGTGTTTGGTGTCATCTAAGCTGACCTTAAGGACGTGCTTAACCTTGTTTCCAATCACCGACGTGTCGACCCCGATCGGGCTATCCACAGCCACGGGGAAGAAATCCGGGCATTCCCACATGCCATTGCCCTTGGCAGAATGCAGCGGGTGTTGGGCCTTAACCCAGTTAAGGAAATCCCTACTCCTGTAGAGGATAGCAAGTCCTCTACGGTCCCTTTTGCTCCCAATGATAATTCGCCACCTATTGTCTGGGCCCCGCCAGGCAGTGGTGGGGTCCCTAAAAGAGCTGGAATTGATACGATTCGTTTGGGCTGGCGCCATTAAGGGGTTTTTGGTCAACTTAACCCATTCCCTAAGGAATGGGTCTGAAAGGTTTTTGGGCATGGCCAGGTTTTGGACCTGGCGGTTTTGTGGGTCTATTCCGGTGTAGAAAATGACTGGCTTACCATTGGGGAGAATGGTTGTAGAACCGGACCAACAGCCATTGATGTCGGACGGCTGTGATGGGTAGATGGCTGGGTCATGTGGGGTCCAGTTCACAAGATCAGTGGATGTTGAGTGGGCCCACACTATGTTCCCCCACACAGCACCTTTAAGGTTATATTGGTAGAATAGGTGGTAAAGTCCCTTGTATATCATTGGTCCTAATATTAGATGAGAAAGAAACATATCACACGTCTATAAATAATTTGGAGTGATTATGCAGTTTCAAAACCCAAAAATAAATCAAATCTAAAAAATGTCGTGACAAAAGAATAAACGAAGTGACCGACCATTAACGAAGATGTGCAAAAACAAGTCAATGGATTTTTTTATTTTTCATCCTAAATAAAAGATTGTAAAGATAGAAAAAAGTGTAGTATATAACTCCTCGCAAAATGTGGATTTATATTTCTCATTTACTAACTCAATCTTTTAAAGAAAAAAGAGCCGTTTTACCAACCACTAAAACTACTCTAATTGCATGATTGTAGATATAACATAATAGGCATGGCAATTCGTGTCACGTGTCGTGTTCGTGTCGTGTTTTGATCGTTTCTTTCTAAATTTACAGTCAACCCGAACACGACCCGTGACACGTTTTCACAAATTTTTTAACATAATAAGGGTGACAATTCGTGTCACAAATAATATTACTTGTACTCCACAAAATGACGCTTTCATTATCACGTCATGTATCATCCAGCATTGACATTGCCAAGTGAGAAAATTAAGGAATTTAAGGCACGTATAAGCCTTTTATGATCAGTATAAATGGCTGAATTTTCTACATAAATTGGCCGTCACTGCACAAATTTGCCAATATTAGGACCGTGGCCAAGAAGATGTCAAAACAAGAACGGAACGTTATCTAATTTTCAAAGACAAAAACGACCGGAGATAATTAATTAAACTTAAAAATAAATAGTTTTCATAAACCAAGAAAACTAAAAATGATTTTTCAATTGCTTCTCAATTAACTTGATCTCACGAGTCAATGACCTTTTTTTTTCCCCCTTCTAAAGCTATTTTCAATTTTTCCTTCATTTAATAATCACGTCAACATATACTCTCAAAAAGTCACATATAACCATTAGATACAAGGGAATTTAAACATAACGATAATACACACCTAATTTCGTAACAAGTGAAGAGTTTGAATTCTAATCAAATTATAAAAAATAATAAAATAATAAAAAGTACTCCAATTATCAGTCAATGGTCAAAATCTAACACATAAAAAAATATCACGTGAACTGACCTAGTACCATATCTTAAAACAGGCAAAGCACCGTAAAAGAAGAACAAAGACAAGAGGGGAAGAAAAACTGACCGTTGGGATCTGCATGTCCAAACACACCGAATTGTCCATTTCACAGAGTCGGTCAACATTGGCGAGTGACAGAAACAAGAAACAAAACGATAAAGAACTGTTAACTCCATAAAAAGAGCCAAACTTGAAAAGAAAAAAAAAACAATAATAATAATAATAACCAGAAATGGTAAGGGAAATATATATATATATAGTTATATATATATGTATACGCATATACATACCATTTATCCAGTTTTTGGGGGGTTGAAAGTGGTAAGAAGTTCTGTAAGGCTGTTCTGCAGGGACGGATTCAGAAACTTGAAGGTTTGTGTAAACATTATGGGAAGCTTCAAGCTTGAAAACGCCATGGCTGAGAAGAATAGCAAGAAAGAAGAGAAGCGCCCAAGAAGAGGAGGAAATGGCCATGGTGGGATTTAGTTTTTAGTGGGGTTGAGAAGATATAGGAGAGTCTCAGTGTCTATTTATTGAGGAAAACTACGGATGATTTGCATTTTTGGCTAGTCCAAATTCAAGGTTTAAAAAGAAAAAAAAAAGTAGATTAATAAATAAAGAAATAAAAAGTCATGATTCCACTGTGTGGATCAATGCTTTGGCCAATAGAAAAACGTTTAAGATTTTTTATTTTTATTTTTATTTTTTAATGGAAGACGATAAAGATAATATAACAAGAATAAAGATCATATAAGGAAAGACCCGGGAAAGCAGCCAGAAGAAAAAAGAGGAATAAAAGTGAATTCTCAAAATCAGGAATAAAAGTGAATTCTCTTACTGGCACTTATAATTGTAGGCATCGTTTATTTTACCGATTCGAGTTTAGAATTTGAGTTTTATTATAGTAAAAAACTCTTAAAACAGACACATTTAACTTTTTACTACTAATAAAACACTCTCACATAAAGTCATATCTCAACTCGAATCAACAAATTAAACAGGCCCGTAATCTCCCTTTGTGTCTCATTCCTTTTTAATTTTTATAAATAAAAAAATTAAGAAAGGCAAAACAACTTAATTATCCGTTAATTTCTCAAGAAAAACTCAAATTTTTGCTTTTTTTTTTTAAAAAAAAATTTGTGTTGTGTTGGAAGAGGTTTTATATATAAATGTATTGGAAGAATCTTGTGAGTTGTAATTTGGTTAAATTAAAGCTTGGCAGGGTTTTTCATTTCTTGTTAATAGGCATCTTTACCAATGACTTTTCTTGATACACCATTATTATTGTTTGGCTGAGTGAAAAATAGGTTAATACACGCGTCTATACGGGTTACAAGGTCCAAGTTATAATGGGGGTTTAATCATCGAATATTTTCTCATCCGTCACTGTCTAATCAATTTCTCGTTTATCTTGGAAACGATCATGTATATACACCACACACATGTGCTTGATTTCTATGATGAAGAATTTTTTTGACGACCTAAAACAAATATGAATCATGATTTATGATCCAATTAATTGTTGGTATTTGAAAACCGGGGTATTTTATTTACTAGTGACACGCAAAACAGCCAAAGAATACGTATCGTGATGTGTTTGGGCTAAGAACTAGAGCAATTAAAAATAAAAAAAAATTATAAAAAATAAAAAATAAAAAACTCTTTCTGGATCAATTCAAAGAGCATAAGCGTATTTGTAAAGTGTGAGTGTCCAATTTGAACAAATTCAAGTTAATCGGATAGAAAAAAAAAATGAAGAAACAAATCACAACAAAAAAAGCTCATTGCTTATTTATTTATTTATTTTCACGTTTGCACGTGATCTCTCTGCTAATTCTGTTTGTGCTTGCTTGGCTTAGATTAAAAAAATATGGCTTAGCTTTATTGTTATTATTTTTCCCTGCAATTTCTGTTCTTGTTTTATTATTTGGATAGTAAATTTCAACCGGACTTAAAATACTCGTGTCTAATCAATCATATTATATCACGTTGTTTTAAAAACTTTAAACGCTTTTTAACTAACTTTTTGCATACTTAATATTTGAGTCTATTAAATAACACGGCAAAACGTGATCACTTGAAACATTAAAAATTAAACAGGTGATTTGAATTCAGTTAGAGCTTAAAAAAAATGTATAATCTGATGAGAATACTTCTATTACACCCTGAATGTGACAAGTTGATGCAATGCAATCGAGGAGGAGGGGCACTATTTTAACACTAACTAGTGCAGGAGTTAAAAACCTGTCTGAATCCATACTCAACATATTTGGATGTGCATATACATATGCAAATACATTCATATATATGTGTGTAATATTTATAAGAAGTCCTAGGTTATTTCCCAATCTTTCATTCCAAATTGATTCAAGCAAAGTTACTTTTAGTCATATATGGTTTAGTTAATTTGATCATGATCAGTGCTCTGTCAAAGTAATATTAAACTTTCTTATCTTTAAATTAATACATAAGAGAGAGTAATTGTACTTTCCTCTTAGTTTCACTTGCATCAAACTTTTTTTTTTCTTTTTTAGTGAAAGCAATTGGTTGTTCAAACTGTCCACGATATTGAATGTTAGTCGGCAACCCCATGCCCTCATAATCAGGAAATAGAGGGCCCGTTTAATTCGTTGATTCGAGTTTTTAATTTGAGTTGGGATATAATTTTATGTGAAAATTTTTTACTATAGTAAAAAAGTTAAATGTGACTGTTTTTAAGAGCTTTTTATTATAGTAAAACTCAAATCGGTGAAATAAATATGATCATAATTATGACGCACTTTAGTTTTCTAATTCTCCACGCTTAATTTGTATTCTTTGAAATAGATCATTAGAAAACAAGTCCCTGCTTTGTGTTTGGTCCACTTGTAAAGATGGAAAAAAAGAAAGAAAAAGAAACAAACATGTGGAACATCTTCTAAAGGAACAAGAAAGCATGATGATTTAGTCGAAAAGGAAATCAAAAGGTAGGGCACATTTGTAAATGAGTTCTTAATCATAACCTTGAGTCATCCGAGTTCATCATTATTCATAGAAACATTTTAAAAAAATATCAAGAAAAAGGTTACATATGTAATGAAAAAATATTGACTGCTTGAGCGTAACAACTATTTTTTTTTTCTTCAAGAGAAACACGTCTTAATTTGTACATTGCCAAAATATTTATTTCAAAAAGTTGTTGCTACTTTAATATCGCTTGGTCGAAGGCTCTCAAACATCGTCATCTTATATTTTTATTATGATTACGATCCTTTTGACTTTAAAAAACCAAACTAATGGGATGAAAAGAGGAGAAAAAAAATATTGAATGCGTTTGAAACTTGTTTTAAAATAATTTTATTTTTTGTATGAAAATTGAAATGAAAATTTTTCAATCTCAAACAGAAATCATTTTTAAAAATGTGTTTGGTAATTTTATTAAGAGATTGTTTTCAGTATAAAAAATCCATTAACATCTCTCTCTACTCGAGAGAGGAAAAAACGGAAACAAAAAATGAAAAACGACTAAAAGTCATTTTTCATTTTTCTCCTATTTTACACTAAACTAAAAAAATCATTTTCATTTTTATTTTTTATCTTTAATTGTGCCAAATGTCATTTCTCTCTCTCATTTTCATTTTTTCTTTCTCGAAAAACGTAAAAAACAGAAACAAAAATAACTCCAAATACAGCCATTGATTTTGATTCAAGTCATTGTTATGAATTAACCTAGACACAAAACGCTAAGTCATTAAACCTAGTTAATTCATCACTTACATTTGTCTTTTATTGTGGTTGCAATCATAAAGCAACTTGACTATACCGTTGAGGTAATTCACCCCACCCTTATGATTATTATTTCTTTTAAAAGGTTCCTTATTCATCAATCACGGCTTAACCACACGACAGGAAAAAAGACGAGGCTTACTGCCGTTGGTGTGAAAACATGTCGTTTCAATACTGAAGGTCTTGTGTTTTATCGTTTATGTAAAAACGACGTGTAGTATTCTATTATAATGCTGTTTCAAACTTTCTAGTTTTTAGGCTAATTCACATTTCACTTCACATGTTGCTTTTTGTGAATAATGAGAAGAGCAAATTCTAAAATACGAATGGAGTGATACCTAAATGAAAAATAAATACATGTTGCTGTTAGTTTCACAAAAAGCAACATATATTTATTTTTTATTTAAGTATCACTCTATCAATCGTTAGTATTTTAAAATTTATTCATCCTCTCATTATACAAATATAAGAGATATTCACGCCATTTTTTATGTTACTCTTTTTATAATTTTTTGCATTCACAAAAAAGAGATAATAAAATCCACAAGTTAAATAGTGTACGCAAAAAGTGATAATAGTGAGAGAAGGAGCTATCATTTCTCTACAAATATTTGCCATAGTTTTAATTCTACTTTCTAAGAAGGAACGACACGTAGCATCTCTGCGAAACTTGAAAACTAAAAGTCGTTTTTTCACCAACAACATTAACATTAACAAAGTCCCTTTCTTTCGGAAAGGAAGCATATTCTCGTTGCTCGTTGTCGTTGGTGTTCTGTTCGTTCTGAAACCAACGAACGGCCCCTTCTATCTCCGGTGAAATCCAAAAGCATATCTTTCCGTGTCGTTTTCTCATTTCCGATAAATTCTCAGGACCTTTGTCGATGGTTCTGTATCTGGGCACGATTCGCCCTTCTTCTCTGGCCTGTTTTGCGCCTTTCAGACGCCAAATATCACTCCACAACTCTGCAATTTCACTCCCCAACACTCGCTTATCTCCCTTCAGACGGGTTCTCCAATCTCGCCTTCGATCTGGTAAGCCTCAAAGTGCAATTTTTTCAACTGGGGTTTCATTATAATTCTTTGTCTTGTGGGTGTTCTACAGAATCTAAAGTTTTTTTTTTTGTTGGTTATTGAGAATATTGTTTCGATTCTTTTGATGGGAAATATGCCATGTCTATGCATCGATGATTGGGGTCTGAAAGTTTATCTCTTTTCTGTGGTTTAAGAAGCTAAAGTAGGGACTAAAATGAAATTGTTTTATCCAGCTCTTTATAAGCAATCACTTGATTGTGGTGGCATTTTTTAGGAAAATTCATGTTTTTCTGGTTGTTTCCATTATAAATGTGTATGAATGAATCAATTATTGAAGTAATTGGCTAGAAAACAGGGAAAAAAAAGAACCAAAAACAAAACAAAAACAAATGAGGTTTAGAGAATGCTGATAGTTTATTACCACTAAAAACACAAAAATCTTGCAGTTTGTTTGGTACTCTCTTCTATATGAGTTATGTGGTGATTTGCCAAGCGAATTGCAGATTATGCAAGGGGAGTTTCCGGAGAAGAATTACCTGATGACCAATCAGAGATCATATTTATGGGTACAGGAACAAGTGAAGGGATTCCCCGTCTTAGCTGCCTTACAAATCCTCTAAAGAAATGTGAGGTGTGGATTAGTATTTTTTTCTTATTCGGAATTCTAAATTCGATTAGTCAAGGAAATGCCGTGATTTTGAGTTTTTCAGGTGTGCTCAAAAGCTGCAGAACCAGGTAATATAAACAAGAGACTTAACACAAGCATCCTTATTCGTTATCCTTCGTCATCTGGAATACGTAACATTCTTGTAGATGCTGGGAAGTAAGTAGAGGACAAGCTTCCTATAAGTTCTGTTAGAATTTATTCTTGTTGCAAAGTGTTTTTACCATTATGAATTTATTGTGCAGGTTCTTCTACCACAGTGCTCTTAGATGGTTTCCTGCTTACAGGTCAGTGTTAATACTTGCAGTAATCTCATGCACTTTAGAGTTTTGAGCTACTAAGTGGAACTTACTCGCATCAAACAGTCTACCAAATCTGATATTTTAAGCTAAGATTCCAAAGATTACAACTCTGAACTGAACAATAGCAAAACTATCTTTTAGGTGCTTCTTTTAAGGATCTATGATCTCTTTGTATTCGGAGAAGTTTCTTGCATATCCTTTCTGGTGACTAGTTATATTTCTGTCAGGCTAAGAACAATTGATGCGGTTGTAATTACTCATTCTCATGCTGATGCAATTGGAGGTCTCTGGCATCAACACTTTCATTGTTATTCTTGAGATATTTTACACAATAGTGATGATTCGTCTTGCAAAAATCCACTCTCTTTCCC